AGTTCACCGGTCACAAAGACGTAATGTCACCACATCTCTATGCTCCAACAAAAAGACTCACCAATACCATCAACAAAACATTTCCCGTCCTAAGTCAGTAGAAGACCCCATGACGACGGCAGTGCAAGGTTTGTCCCCATGACGACGGCGGAGATCATCGTATCCCTCTGGGCGGGCACTCGAGGCTACCTCGACAAGGCCCGGTGCGGCGTTCTACGGGCTGAAGTCACGAAAGGCCTCAAGCTACCTGGGTTCTCTGAGGCTACCTATTGTATTGGGCAGGTGGTGGTGGCGTGCCATGGATTTGAGGCGTTTGAGTCAGGTGTCAAAGTGTTGATACATACGAAATAGATCTTCACAGGTCTGTGGTTGATTTGCCCTCAGTCCGGCCAGTGACTTTCTTTACTTTTGGGGGACACCTCTTTGTTGCTTCAGTGGCTGAACAAAGCGGGTTCCCATCCCTTTGAGCAAGTGAGTGATTTGTAGGTCTGAGTAGGTCTGCTTGGTGAGGGTTAGTTAAGGATCCGTTTCCGGGACTGAATAGAACCAACCTCGGGAGCAGATCCCTGCAATGAAGTGCACCCTGCACTTGCAGATGGTGTGGTACTCATCCACATCAACCATCGGGCCACATTGACCTGTTTATTTGGACATGTGACATGAATGTGAATTTCAGATCCCATGGACACCGAGTAGAACTCTGCAACTCGGCAAGTGTGGTTCTGGTTATGCGTTTCTTCCGCCTCTTCCGCTCCACATCTGAGAGTGTACGCTCTGGCTCGCGTTGCAGGTGGCGACCAAGGAGATCCTCCGTTTTGAGGCCCTGTGGTTGAAGCACTTTAAGGACACCAAGGCTGATGTCCTTAAGGCGAGACCTGAGAAACTGGGTTTGTTCGGAGTGGGAGACACACCTTGAGGATCTGAAGTATGCAGGACTTTGGTGGCATACTTGCTTCCCACCACTGGCCCTGGTTTCAAAAATAAGCAACATGTCGGCCTCATCTCTCGAATTGCACCAGTGGCAATGATGGACTACTTCAATCCGTCTATATACAAAGGCATGAACAACTGTTCTTTGGCGGGCTGATGCAGGGAAGGTGGGATCCAACTTGTACTGCTCTGCAAAATCTCGCAAGCGAAACTCCCAGTAGAACGAGCTCACTCGAGTGATGATATGGGCTGATCAATGGGGGTCAAAATCCAGAATCCATTCTTCAAGCTGGCAACTTACACCACCTGCAAAGTGCGTGGCACAGCTCCACCTGACACTTTTGACTGTACAGACCCTTTGCATCCGTGAAAAACTGCCTGAGCGGTTCCGCTCGGCCACAGGACACTTTTGCTCCCCGTTTTGGAACCGAGGAAATCATGACGAAGAAGCAGATCACCCCTGAAATCGAGGGTTCCATCAAGTCGGCGATGGACGAGCCGGGGCCTAAGAACCACAACGGACGACAGGGGTGTGGAAGAAGCGGGCGACGATCGCGCAGCTTCGGATTTTCGGTCTGAAACCTGGGGTTCCACCAAGCAATTTGGCATGGTCTTCAAGTACCACGAACCGCCTTTCAAGTCCCACCCCCCCACTTCGGTCAATCGGAGGCGCCGGAAACCGGTCCGGTGGAGCGAAGCAGTTCGGTTTGAGGTTTGGTTCCTGCATGGAACGACTGAAGAACCCGTCCGCATTGCCATGCCCAGCTAACTGGTTCCTCCCATCCCAAACCCTGAACCCTTGGTTGATCGGGAACCGAGCCAACGTACGTCGGCGTACGTCGTGGAGTTGGTGGGATCAGGTTTTTGGGCATGAACGAGTTCGAGAGCCGTGCTTCTTAAGCAAGGCCAGGAAAGACTTTTCGGCGATGAAAGGGCACTAGGATGCACTACTGTAGGTACTAGTTACTAGATGGTACTAGTAGAGGAAACATCATTTGTCAGGCACAGTGAGAGAATGGGAGGGAACTGCTCCCTGGTTTATGGATGACAACATGATGATAAACAACCCCTGAGAGATTTCCCTGTCCAAGCTGGTTCTGTCATCGGGTTTAAGCAGCACGTCAAGTAGAGCCCAGAAGAGTTGACGACACGTGAACTTCAGAAGTCTTACTGTTTTTAGTCTTATTTACATGTAGGGGATTATATCAGTATGTGTGTACTCGCAGGCCTGCTTTCGTTTCAAATTCTAGGATCCTCGCTCAAAGTGCTTGGCTGGGAAGTGAAGACTAGTGTTTTCTGTTGTGTTCCTATAGTCACAAATCTAGTGTTCTGAAGACCTGTTTGGAAATACGTGAATGCGAGAAGAACGCTGCGTGGATAGATTTCCTGCATATCGGGTCTTTCACAAATATCAATGGCCTTTCACGTGGAATGACTAACGTTTGCGTTTGTTTGAGAGCTTCTAAGTCATGCGACGTGGACTCATCTGGTCCGGACCAGAAACTACTGGACCGGACGGTTGTCCGTCTCCATGCAGATTTGCTTGATTGCCACCTGATCTGTTTATGAGGACACTTTGCAATTCACACTGAAGCCAGCCGACCATGGCAGGTGAGCAGATGAGTGGCAGGCGGTGCAAGGCAATGATAGCAGTGATAGCAACAAATTCAATAGTTAACAGCCGAACGCAATTTCCCCCCAAGCACTTCGAAATATCACTCTTAGCCAGTGGTGGAAAACTTTCTCAGAATATTTTTTCTCAACTGGGGCTTACTCGGAGGACTCAGGAAGACCATCCAATTCTCGATGACTGGTCGAACGCAAAAAGCTTTCTCTGACGTCTCGCCCGCGGTGGGTTGGGACGCCGTGAAGCGCCGCTTTCAACGCCGGGAGAAACTCGGCACAGCGGTGACTCTGAACGCGGCACACGGGGCTCACCCTGCTCCGTGCCGGGCACCAAGGAGGTCCAGCGGAGCTGTTCGGATGTGTTGGAGGATGAACAGGATTCTTTGGTATATATATACCTATATATGCATATGCATGTAGGCTTGAGTATGTGCTTTTGTATGCTTTTTTGTACCTGAGACCACAACTGTAACGGAGTCATCGAAATGAAGGAACAATCAAGGCTATTTGGCTGCACGCTCCGCGACTGGCAAAGTACATGAAACGAGCTCGGACAGTTCCCCAAACGATTCCTAATTGCAATATGCCTGTCAAAGGGGGCCTAGATTTGGACTCATTTGGGCCAATGTGAGCCTTCCGTGAGGGGTGATGGAAGACACAACAATTGCACGGATGATGAGATTCCAAGAAGTGGAACAAGTGCAACAAGCAGTTGTCCTTGAAGCTTTAACCTGGAAAAGATGGATCAGATCTGGACAGCAGTTGGAAGGAGCGCTCTTTGAAACATGCCAACAAGTTTGAGACTCTGGCCACTTCTGGCCTTCTTGGTGCATGATTTCATAGTGCAAAGCGGGCTGCGCGTCGGGTTCACCTGTGTAGTTCTGTATGTCTCAAAGGAAAGACAACTCCCAGTTGAAGTTGTTACAGCTCATTTATTTGACAACCTTTGAGGTTGTCTTAATTTGAGGCCCAAGTGAGGAAGCACCGTTTCTCATTTCAGCATGTGATAACTCATCCCAAGAAACTGGTGTAACGGCACCTCTCTCCCCACAGGTGGCTTTGTTTAGGGGGGTCTGTCAAGTCTGGTCAACTCAAAACTGACAGGTGTCTACTGCAGGATGTTCTATTTTTTGGGTCAGCCAGGCAAGCAATCAAAGCTAGACTGTTCGAAGGACCGTTTGAAGCCTAGACTTGCGGACTTGCATGAGGCCATGGGCTATGAATGAACACTCGGGCTATGGGAGTGGGCAATGTGGCTAGTAGGTAACGGTGGTGAACATTTAGAGTGAAAGAACCAACCTCAAACCTGCTACCTCAGGAGCCCAAAGGTTCCCATAGATGGGCTGGAACCTCATTGTCCAAACGTTTCAGTTGGTGTGGCGAGAATGGTTTCAAACTCACCACTTTTCCAAGACTGGCATTGCAGGGACCTTCGTGTTTGTTCCTAAGAGGGAGGGGGCAGCAGAGGGGACACGAGATGCAACTGGCTTCGACCAGAGGCGCAGCTCTCCGACGCGAACGCGATCGCAGGAAAAGCACCGCACGGAACGCGGACTCCGCGCACGAAGCGTTCGTGCGGTGATGGGGCGTGGAGTACAGCGGCACATCTGAAGGATTGTGGAGTACGAGTACGCCGAAATGTTGTAGTCTGAAAGAATGTCGTCTGAAAGATGTCCCTTTCTTACCACCTTAGTAGCCTTAGTACTGTATATATAGTCTATGATAATTCAATCCGGACGTAAGAGATTTCATTGAAGGCTTTCTGTGAAGGATTTCTTGTGATTTCTTTGTGGTCGCCGGCCGGAAATCCTGTGTTGATCCTCAAGTAAACCACACAACAATAGGAAGATTGACAATCTCTCATGAGGGGACTCAAGTACCTTGCAACTACGTCCTTCGAGGGAAATGCTTGAGATCGCTTCTGAAACCGTTGTAACTGACTCCAGCCTTGGCAACCAGTAAGGAGGGCTTTGCAACCAATGCGGGTTGTTTTTTGGTCATAGCAAACCAACGTTCTTGGTTTTCAGAGTCAATCCTACAGGGGGGTGTTGTGTGAATGGGCACAGGATGTTCTTCACCAACAAGCCTGGTCATGGGCTGCATTTCACAAGCCTGGTTGGAAGATACTTGCTGCCGATGTGGAGATCAGATATGTAGGCTCCTGTTGAGAACTTGGATGGCATGTAGAGTATCATCAGATTCAGCAGCTGCGGCTCGACCTTAGCCGGCAAACCAATAGAGCGCAAAGGGCCAGAAGTAGCTCTCACAGACCTAACACGTAGGCGATGTTGCATTTGAGAATCTGAGAAAGAGGCCTAATTAGAGGTGCCCCCAAATAGCAATCAAATTATATCAACAAAGCAAACAATGTGCAGTTCATTGTTTCGGATTCTCTTTCAACCCATGTTGGACCTCACTACACTGAACCAATTCCCGCCTGGGCACAGGGGCTTCCGGGGAACTCGTGTGTGAAGAGTGGTGCAACTCGTGCGGACGGAGAAGCCGGGAGTGGGGAAGCCGGAAGATGCGCCATGACGGTCGTCCTAGCGGCCTTGGCGGAGGCGGATGCATGCGGCGGGAGGATGGGTCTCCTGAAGCCAGGGAGAGATGTCAGACGGTAAAGCAAGCTGTGTGGGTGGGTATATATATATATATATATCTCAAAGCAGCTTTCAACAACAAGACCATGAAAGCATCATTTTCTCTAAATTGAAATAGAAGCAAACTAAACTATCCCACCAAGTGACTAGGGAGATCCCCACCAATGGATCTACCTTTGCTTGTCACAGCGGGTGCTGGGCTGAGCTAGTCTTCTTGGTCAGAATCTATGAGAGGATCAGAAATCCCGGCCCCAATGAATGCTCAATGACAAACATTTGAGACCCACCCACAGGGTGTGGTCACAAACATATTGAAACATGCACAGTCCGCGAGTCCGCGATCAAGATAAGACTCATACTTGATCCAGCTGGACGATGCAGACTCCAGCTCTTCGTGTGTAGCTGCTACCTTCTTTCGTTCAAGCTTTTGTGCCTGAGCCGGTGCAGAAGGATGACCTTGTTGATGGGGTCTGCTTGCCTTCTTGCCTGACCATTCTTACCTTGCAGGGCTGGTAGCCCTTTGAGCTCTGCTTTGGTGCCAAGACATCCAGCCAAGTCACTTGCCGCAGTGTTTGTGCAGGCTTTGGTCTCTGGCTCTGCTCATCGTTGGATGGCAAAAAGCCCATGTGAGGAAGTACAAGGTATCTCCAAATGAGGCAGATTCAATTGGAGCAAGGAAGCAGTGGCGCCATTTGTTCATCATGCACCTCCTCAGTTCCTTGGCTCCTGGGTGGCATTGCTCCACAAGGCTTTGAAAGGCACGCCTGCATATGCCTGTGCCTTCTTCAAATGGTAGCTCCATCTGATTTAAGGCATTGAAGCTGTCAATCACAGTTCCAGTCACTCTCTCTTCTCTGGCCACAGTGCGGGAAAGCTTGCCAAGTCCAAGGACTAGTTGCGAAGCTTTAGCTTTAGATGACTGTCTTCTTCAAAGCCCTGTTTTGATCAACCAAATAGGCATCACCACGAGACACCTGCTCTCTAGGGTGCGGCAATTCCATTCTGAGTCTGCATTCTTCTCAGACTCTTGCCCTTTGTAGCGCACTTCTGATTCAGGCTCCATCAAATTTCTGAGTTCACTGGTTGATTGTTTCCTGATTGAAGCCAGGCATTCTTCGTGGCTGCCGTTGCACATTGCATGTATCGGCCAGACAAAGTACCCTTAATCCTTTACACTTGTGATCGAGCCATGAACATGAATCGAACTCTTTGGCGGTGCGTGCGGCTTTGATGGTTTGTTCGATCTCTTCGTTTAGCGGTGTGCACGCTGAAACACCATAACGCATGCAGTATATTTTTTATCTCGGTTCCAGACTGATCTGTGTTTTGCATGCCTGCCCTTACCCTATCCATGCTACTTTACCCTACCACCCAGCCTGCCCGAGGTTTGGTTTTGCCTCATCAAAAGTAATCCTTAATCCTAAGGGGGATTACGGATTACAAGCTATCGGATTGCCCGGTTTGGGGCGGATTTGGGATTAGAACTCAGAGCCCCCGTTTTGAGACTACGTAGGCTTACGGATTTGAGCTTTGGGTTGTTTGGCATGTGCAGATCCTTCCCATTGGTGAAGCAACTCTGATCCTGGAGCACCTTCGGCTCCATTACCCCCAGCTGGCGCAATGGTTGTAAGGATCCCTATGACCACAAACACCCTTCAAAATCCAGAGCCCCCAATTGAGTGGTTTGAGTCGGTTGCTTCCAAATCGGGGCTGTGATGGTTCCTTTGGCCACAGGCACCCTTCACAATTCTGATGGCCACAAAC